TGCACCTTGTGTTTAGATTGAACTTCCAGTAGTTGCAGGATATAGAGTTTAGGGGTTTAGGGTTCAGGGGTTGACGGTTCTGGGTTTAGGGGTTTAGGGTGTAGGTGTTCAGGGTTTTGAGTTTAGGGGTTTCGGGTTTGGGGCTTAGGGTTTTGACAAAACTTACCTTTGATAGTAGGGAATGGAAGAATGGTAGGAATAGTAGTTATAATTATACCCCACTCCTCCATTCCCTAACCAAAGGTAAGAAAAGCTTGAAAGCTTCATTCTGACGTTTCGTAGCTCAGGGTCACCCGGCCCGAACTCGACATCAGAAGCAACCAACCCAATCCTGGGCTCTTGTTAAGTTTGATTGAAGGTGTCACAATAAGGAAACCTTAGTATTTGCTATAGATCCTTGTTAGGGCAACTTAAACTAGAGTTCATGAGTAGTTATAAGTGGGTTATAAGTATAAGTAGGGTAACTCCAAGTATAACTCCCTTAGCACGGGGCTTATAACTCGACTTACAACTACCCCCGAACCTCCAAGTAGGGCTTTGTTTGCGACCCAATAATTAGGTACTGGCACCAGCTATGTAAGTTACCGTTTAACATAGTTAGTAATTAGACACCCAGACCTTCCAAAGTCCCTTAATTAAGGAACGGAATGTACCTTAAACTATAGGACCCCTGATATGATTTGAAGTATTCCCTCACTTAAGGCATTTTGGAACCCTAAAGTCCAAACCCTAAACCCTAAACAATTGGACTCTCGGGGCTTCATGGGCTTCTAACCCTTAACTCCTCGCGGCTTGAGCTGAACTATCTCCAGAGCCGAACACCGGAACATTGAACCGCAAAAAAAGCCAACAATGAACTGGCGGTTTAGGGTTTTAGGGTTTTGGGATTTACGGTTTTGGGTGGCAGCCTACATCCCGGACCCAAATGAGGGTTGTTCTATATCCTTGTTCCACGCATGCCAATTAGGATCCCTTGCGCTTCGCCCTTGCGTGTTCCTTGGGCTTGCTTGCGCGCGCGAGGGTTTCTTAAGACTATATAGATTTGTTACTATGGCTTGTTGATGCTTGGTTGCTTCGAGTCGAAGCTTCGGCTGCGGGTACAACAATCGGGCTTCAAGGCTCAAGAAGTTGTGCTGGATCCTCCATGGTTTTGGGCAGGCTTTCTTGCGCGCCGTCTTGCGCGCGCTTGCGCCGATCTTGCGCGGAGGATGCCGTGTCAGAACCTAATTTTCAACAGTTCGCGACTCTGCTACCGCGGCTTGCAGAATATAAGAATGAGAGCGCTTACTCCAGAAGCGGAACGTCCTTGGTTTGGGTTTACGGTTTTATTTAAAGACTATAGAGTTTAGGGCTTAAGGTTTACGGGGGGTTTAGGGTTTAGGGTGTAGGCCGGGTTACATACAACGCTGCTGAGTATCACTCAAATCAAGCTTAACAACAAGCCTTGCGCATAGCTTGCGCTCGCCCTTACGCGCCCTTGCGCGCGATCGAAAGGGTATGCACTTTTTTAAGCGACCGAGTTTTCGCTAATCGCCCTCCTAGTATTGTCACAAGAGCCCCCCAAAAAGAACAACGCTCAAATAGCCCAAAGGCCATAGACACCAATTTCTAATCTCAGACCCCAGTGGTTAGCAAGCCCAATCAGAGCCAACTCCCCACATCCTGAACTCTTCAACCCCGAAGTTCTAAAGCCCCAATCCCAACCCACCAAGCACCAAACCCTAAAGCGCGAGCCCTAAACCGCAACAGCCTGAAGCCCGTAACCCCGAACGAAAGCCCTAAACCACAAAAAATTGGACCCTAGGCTGATACACTGAAAACGCCCCTATAAACCCTGAGCCGAGGTCCCCTCTGGCTCCGCGTGCTCCTGTTCGCCTGGGAGATCGCATTCCCTCTTCGAACCGTGCAAGTCAGAGCCGAAGGGCGACAGTCCCTGAACCCTGAAATTCCCGAACTCTAAGTCCAACATTGGAGGTTCATGGGCAAGTTCTGAGTGGAGTTATTAGGCGTAGGGAAACTATATTACCAACCCCTACTAAGGGAACATATAAGCCCACTTTCAATTACCCATGAACCTCCAGATAAACCATCTAGACCTTCAATGCAAGTCTTCAACCCTATACACCCTGATTTCTGTTCTTACAGTAAACCCTGCACAAGATGCCCTAGACCGGGTTTAGGGCTTGAGGTATCGAGGTTTCGGGACGTCGGGCCTTAGGAAGCAATGTCTCAGCGTTGAGGGTTTCATGTGTTTCGGTAGGAAGCTACGCGGGGTGCTACCAGGGTTCTACAAGCAAAGGACACTTTAAGGGCTCTCCAATGGCTTAGGTTCTGCTGTTGGTTCGCAATTAGGCAATGGCATGCGTCTGCTACCGCACCTGCATCTCTACATCAATGGAGACCTCTATACTGTGTTCCTTTGCACGTCGACGTTGGGTTTGGGAATGGCCTGGCAAGTAGCCGGAGCCAAGACCGCTTTGCAGGGGCTTCTGAATGAACTGGAACCTATGACTGAACCAGACCCCGACTGTGTCAGCAACCGGTCTGGCGGCAGTCCTTGAGCTTGGCATGTACCGGGCCTGGACGGGATTTGGCGGACTGCTTGGACGTTCACAGGCACACCGTCAACGCACCAAAGGTAACAAGCACCAAGCACTGGGATAGGTGCTCAAGCACGTGTGAATCTTCAAACGCCACAAAAGCAGTTGGACTGAGAAATGCAGAAACATCTGCAAAGACGATCCCTTCCTGCTACGGATGTGTAGGCACCTACACGAATCCTGCACGCAAGTTGGCCATGCTTCACAGTAACCTGAGGGTCCATGCACCCAAATTTAAATAGTATATACACTTCGGTCCCAAAAAAGGGGACTACTTTAATTAGGGCCAAAGTATATGCCATGTGGGTAAATTAAACCCTATACAACAAACCCCAAGCCCCTGAACCCTAAGGGCCACGGAAGAAGCGCACCTCGTACTAGCACACTCCCCAAAATCTAGACCTTCGGCCCCCGCGGCCCCCGGCCCCGAGCCTTTCACCAGAAACCTTTTTGAACCCGTCAAGGGCCCCATTAAAAAGAACGATGATAGGGGCCGCAGTCGGCAGAATAGAAGTTGGGTGGTTAGAGAGTAATTCTTCTATGCTTACATTAAGAAGCCGTTAGGAACAGCATGGGTATTTGGGCGTCTATCTTCGTAAACCTGGTTATTGCAAGGTACTGCGAATTCTCGCCTCTTCTGCCCTAAAGCCCCAAGCCTGAATCCCCAAAGGTCGGCTGTGGGAGGCCTTTGTGGTTGCTGGGGGTTGAGGCGTAAAAAAGGTGCCTTCATAAATTAGAGCAGGTGCTTGGGGTTTCTCATGACATCATTGAAGTGGGCTTGTTCAGAACATGACTGCTTCGGAGCCTTTCAAGTGTAGGGGCATCCAACAAATTCCAAAAGTTGCTTCTTGCAGCGGCAAGAACCTAGCATCCTTACGAAGGACGAGTTGTGGATCTAGCTTTGGATGTTTAGCGTTCAGTTTCTGACGGGCCGTTTAGGGTACAAGGACTTGCAAAGTAGGGTACAGGGCTACAGGGGTTTACATAAGGGGTAGGACAAGGGCAAAACTCGAACTCAACAGTTAACTGTTACCGTCGTTACCGTCGTTCGGGAAAAGAATCAGAGCACCAACACAACCACCATGGACAGAACTGGAGGGTCTTCGAACCTAATCTGCCACCCGACGTCTCGAAGCTCGAAACCTACCCAACACCTGCCCCTAAACCCTAAACCCTTCATTCCTAGACTCCCAAACCCTACAACCTAAACCCTTCATTCCAAAACCTTAAACGCGAAACCTACCCGACACGCCAAACCCTGAATTAAACCCTAAACCCTTATTTTCCCAAAACCTTAAACTGCATCTGAAACCCTTAACTCGTGACGTAAACTCACTGGGGATCGGGCTCTTCATATTCTGCACCACGTCAAGGACTCGGCCCGCCCGAAGCCGAAAAAGCTGCGGTGACATTTAGGGTTTATAGGGCCCATGAAATTTAAAACAAATCGTTATCATGTGTGGACTGCAGCAGTAAGCATACAAGACACAACGCACAGTGCAGAACTTCTGCCACAGAACAAGCTTCGACCGCAAGCCACGAACTCAAAGTCTATGTACACACACACATAGGCATGCATACCTGCCTACATGCATACATACACTGGCACACACGCACATGTCGGAATAGACAGATGAAGAGAGAGACATCGATGTGTGTCTGTGCATGTATTATTGTATATGTACATACATATTATATTACATTGCACATAGCAGACAGGCAAGCAGCTAGCGCAACGCAAAAAGCTCCTTCAGCTGGCCTTTGAAAAGGCGCCTCATGAACAAGGAGTTGAAACATAACAGCGTGTTTTCGGAGGAGGGGGTAGACTACAGCCAAAGGTTTTCAATCGGGTCTATACAGGGGATCATGCGAATCCCAGGTGTCCTTGCCTTGCCGTCTTGCCTTACGAGACCTGAACTCAAGGCGCCCACACGCCGCTCTTAAACCCTTAAAAAATCTCTCAAACCCCCAAAACCTTGCAGCACAGGACCCTCTTTCGAACCTAGCATTCGAGGAATGTTGTAGACACGGGTTGTCCTCGCATGGGGTGAACTTTGCTGGAGATGCTGGGTGCCCGGGGATGATCACACGTCTCGGCCCATCACCGCCCCAAGCCCAAATCCCAATGTAAACCCTATAAACGTTGTATTTCAAGCCTGTAAACTCGCCATAAGTCAAATTTAACCCTAACCGGGGTGTAGAAGGAACCTTGGGCTTGGCGCGTGAAGCCCCAGATGAAGGCCCTTTGGGCCCATCTTCGGAGCGCTCGCATCCCAGACTATCCGCAGCCCCTTCCAGGATCCCCCAAGGGGCCCTTTAATGGAGTCCCTATGGGCCCTTAATTGTGCGTATTTGGGAGTATTTGGGGTAAACATTAGAGGGTAGTTGGGGGGTCTAGGTTCAGGGCATAAAGAATGCGTAAACGGGAAAATTCAACTTGTCCAGGGTCTGCCGCTCCCAACGGCAGCCCTCGCCCAGCGGCTTCTTCGTCCACGCATGCACTGGGGCTTCCCGGTCCAACTCAACCTTGTGAATCTGCAACAGCCAAGGAATAGGAAGGTTAATCTATGTCTGCCTACAACATAGGGAAACCGCCCAACGTACAGTGCAACTGTTGGCGAAGTAACGTTGTGGATCTTAATCCTGCCTTGCCCCCATCCTTCGGGCCGGCCATTCCGGAAAGTCTCCCTGAGATCTCGAGTCGGTTCGGGCACAAGGGTACCCGATATTCGTGAGAATGGCAGGTCTAGACGAGTCTACGCAGCCATGCCACTGAGAACGTTTAGAACGCACAGATCCGCGCAGAAACCCTGCCAAACGACCAAAATGCACGAAGCCGAGTCGCTTGGCCAGGTCGAACTCTTCGGCGCGGGCGTCTGAAAGCTCTGAAGAGCCCGCGCCGTACTCATCCACCCAGGACTCAGATGCCAGGGACTGACTGCAACTCCCAACTCTATGTTGGTGTCATTGACGAAGCAGTACACGGACAACATGAGAAGCCTTCTCACACCTTGAGACCCCCTTCACGCCATGCTTACGCAGTCTGAGCCGAGCAACCGCGTGGAACACGTTTGAGACGGCACAGCAAATGACCTTGCCCTCGTCGTGCTGCCTCTTGACTTCTCGTAGCCAGTGGCAACACCAGCCTCTGTAACTCAGCACTATAAGGCCAAGGGCAACAGCAGGCGGTAACAACATTTGTTCGAAACTGCCTGGTCACTCTATTTGACATGGCTAGGGGGGATGAAAGGGCTCATCTGAGTGGCAAGGGTGCCGGCTGTTGATCTCTGGCGGCTGCCGAGCTGACCTCGATTCGACATTGCCACTCCACATCGGGTGCCGCCCCTCAGCAGCTGGCACGGGGGCGTCGTCCCGGCCGCACTCTTCCGGCGGGTGTATCCACCCGTCCTCCGTGGCGAAGCCCCACACCGGGGTATCGCCAAACCAGACCGTGGCAGTGCCTGGCCACAGGGCGCATAACAAGTCCGTGACGCTGATCCTTTAACACTTCACATGCCAAGGCCAAGCGTCACTCCACGAAACTTAACTCCCTCCTCTCACGCAACTTCTTAACTACTGTCCGGTCTGCATCTTGAAGGTCTTGCTTCGGACAAGAACCGCAACCGCAAGACCAAGACAGCCCAGAAACCGCAAGAAACCACTTCCCCACACAGAAAAATCCAAGCCAACTTCTCAACGAAGCCCTCTCAAAGACCTCACACCCCCTCCCTCGAAGAGCTGAGCAGTGTCTCCAAGCGGCCACCGTGGTTGTCGCACTTCAACATGTCCATGACTTGGCCATAGGCGGCGCCTCCTGGTATCGAGGCCCCGGTAGCCGGGAAGCGCCGTCTCATGTCGAGGGACATGATGAAGCTCTCGTAATAGGTCCAGACCAGGCCCGTGCCCGCCGCCTCTCGGCAGCGCTGCCGGAAGTCCGCGTCCTCTGAGAGCTCCTCCGAGGCGAAGTGGTAGAGCCAGTAGGCCTTGGTGGCCTCCACGAGCTGAAGGACGAAGGCCCGGTCGCGGCGGAGCTCCGCGGAGGCGAATTCCAAGGCCCTGCCAGTCTGCTGCACGGCTACGATGACGATGTCCTTGTCGGCCCGGAGGTCCTTGGAGGCATATTCCAAGGCGTAGCCATCTTGCTGCACGGCCTGCAAGACAAACCCCTTGTCCACCTGGAGGTCCTGTGGTGCGTTGCGAACGTTCTGGAGCCAAAACTGCCATCGCTCCTGCATCCAACCCTAGCACCATCCTCTCGGTTTCGGCCTTGCCTTCGCTCCAGGAAGCTCCTTGTCGGCCTGGAGGTCCTCCGGTGCGTGGTCGAGGCTGCGATCATCAGTGCGGACCTCCCGGAACACACACACACAGTCGCACCCTTGAACGCAAATAAACTTGGCCTGGAGGTCCTGCGCTGCTCGCACACGCATGCAAATGCAGCTGCCCAAGTCCAAGGCCGCTGAGAACATCGGGACGCGGCAGGTGGGCCATCCGGGAGTGCCGACTCAGGGTGATCAACTGGCTGACTGCAAGGCTTGCAGTTTGCGAGCCGGAAAAGTCGGACCACATGCAAAGCTGCAAAGCTTCATGCTGCAACTGGAGCCCCACTCTAAAATCGCCACCTGACCCGAAACGAACTGACATAGAGCAGTATTAATTATGGATATTGAGTCTGAACCCGACGAGAAACGGGCTTAATTTGGAGAGACCGCTCCCGGCCGCCGGCCGCCACCCTTGCAATATTCAAAATGCTAAACGAGCTGAACGTGCAAGGCTAAGCAGATTGCAGGTTTAGGTGTTAAGGGTACCGTGAGGGGTCTCCATAACTGCTCTAGTTAGAAAGGCTGAAGAAGGCTTGCCACAGGGTTTCAGCGTTTAGGCATGCCGCAAAGGAAAGCATGTGGGATGGCACCACTCCAATGCCCCTGCCTGGTTTCCTACGAACTGCAGTCGTTTTTGAAATCAGCTTTCGGCGTGCCACGGTTGCGGTGTTTGCACAAATTGCTGTATGGTTCGACATGGAAGAGCCACTTGACTAAGCGTGCTCTACACGCAGGCCAGGTGATCGAATCCGTTCGACCGCAGGCATCGGGACGATGGTGGCACCGGCTTGGTTCAGGAACGTCGTGAAGCAGGGCTCGCATGATCCAAAACCAATCGCAACGGAATCACCGGGCACCCACGTCGATCATGAATTGCAGCGGTCTTCTGGCGCCGTTGCTGGCAGGCATCTCGTGTCTTCGGACAACGAACATCACTTTTGTCTGCGGGAAGACGAACCATGCGGGACCCAGATCGACGGTTCCCCAGCAAGCTCCCGGTTCAGGCGAGGTTCCGGCCAGCGGTACGACCTGAGGGGACAGATATGCTAGAGTATGACGATCAGAATCGAATCTTCAATTTAATTACTGGGTTCTTGTTAAGGGATTTAATTTAAAGTTACCATAACAAGGAAACCATGTAACTTACTGTAGATCCCTATTATGGTACCTTACATCAATTTCCCTAACGAGAACCCAGTTTGGCTACATGTGGTCCTGTGCTCGAAGGCTTCCCCAAGGACGCCGACGTCAGATCAGTCCTCAGCCGCGGAAGCCGGAAACGCCTTGGGGCTTTCAGGTTCCTACAAAACCTCGTTTAGGGTTTAGGGTTCAGGGTTTAGGGTTTTGCTTTAAGGGTTCCTAGTCTTTAAGGGCTGAATTGGGCTTTAGAGTTGCTTCAGAGCCTGCTTTCAGGGTTCCTAGTCTTCACAGGTCCCTGTAAGGGCTAGATTGGGCTGTAGAGTTGCGATTTTTTCCAGGGCCCTGTAAAGGCTGAATTGGGCCTTAGAGTTGCTTTAAGGGTTCCTATGAAAGTATCTGTAAGGGCTGATCAGGATCGGGCTATAACTTGAGGTTTGCTTTAGGGCCACAGGTCGGTCCAAAGTATCCGCTTCGAAGCAAACAAACATCTCTGTCCCTCGTTGAAGCCTCTCCGAGCCGGGATCAGGGTTTAGGGCTTAAGGGGCTTAAGGGTGTGGGCCGATCTAGGGTTTAGGGTTCAGGGGTTGTTGGGTCTAGGGTTTATCTCGGATGAAGAGTTCTTCGGGGATTATGCAGCATGTCACCGTCACCATTTCCAAGTTTCAAAACATCCTAAACCCAGTTCCTCAAATCAAAAATGCCGGAACCCTACACCCTTCATCCTCACCCCTAAACCCTAAACCCTCATCCTTACTCCTTCACGATTGAACCCTCGACCTCTTGCTTGAGCTTAAGGTGAACGAGATACGCAAGTCTACGACGACGACGACGACGATGGGAACGACGGCGACTGCTGCTAGTAAGACGTGTCTGCGGGTTCGAGAAAGGGTGGGGAGGGTGCCAGAAAGTGTTTCGCATGAATATCGGCATACTAGTAGTTAGTAGTCGGACGATATACAGAAATTGCAAAACGAGAAGCAACAGTGCATCATCATCTCGTTCATCTCGATCGCAACAAGAGCACACAAGAGCTGTCACTGTCATAAGGCTAAGCATGACAGAACGAGGGCGCCAGCATGGCTTCTTTGCAGACGGGCGGAAGCCAAGTCACAGAACTAAGTTGCCCCACAACCTGCATCATAGACGTAGAGCCCAAAAGTCCTGAAAGCACGGCGACAGGAACCTAACACTGTCCCCAAGCCTTGGACCCACATCCTCACGCCACCCTGAAATCCGTACCTGAACCCGAAACAGTACATTCACGAACGACAGGATCCTGATTCCTGCCTTTACTTTGTTAATGATGATGACTGCTGTGGATATGACCATGACTGTTGTTAAAGTTCTTACATCGTTAACATAAGCACCCCAAGTAAGATCCCCATCTCTCTCTGAACTTCAGTAAGCCTTACGCGGCCCTTAACCCTAAACCCCGAACCCCTAAACCCTTATAGTACCCTTACAGAGCCCTGTAATTGGAACCCTTACAATCCCCGTTGAAGGAACCCTAAAGTGGCTGAAGGTCGGCCAGGCTGCGTCGGTGGACTTGGCTGCCTCGGACTCTTCCCGCGCCCTGCGAGGCGATCCGGAGGGACTAAGGCTGCACAGCCTAGGGTTTGGGGTTTGGGGGTTTGGGGCTTTAGCTTTTTAGGGGTTATAGGGCTTATAGGGTTTATAGGTTTTTGGGGTTCAGGGTTCCAGGGTCTGGGATTCCCATCGACTCCCAAACCTCGCAAATGAGGAAATTTGAGGAATATACCCGACGTAAACCTAAGTCATTATTTGATAGGGACCCCCTATGACTTAAGGTACATATTCCTTCACGAAGAGGCTTCGGAGCCTCCGGAAAATGCTTAGCTAGGAATGCGGGTACAAGTTCTCTTGTTGATGTCTGAAGGCTTGCCGGTGTTTGCTATCGAACGTGGTTTGATACGTGAATGCATCACATAAAGACCAACGGTGTTATAAGTTCTACACCCTACCGTCATGTTTCATGTGAAGACTTCAGGCTCTGGGCTTGGACCAGAGGACCCGCATTGATTCTGTCGGCGTCTCCCAGCATCCCCCAAACCTTGCTAGTTTGTCTGTTGACAGCTCGAGCTTAGGGCTACAGGGGTTAGTTTCGACTCGTCCGCAAACAGTGAATGCATGAGTACAGTTATGGTATGTTGTAGACCCTGCATGTGTAGAGCTATTTAGCCTTGTGCTTGTAAGTGCAAACACCAGTCCACAATGCACAAAACATGTTATGGAAACTGACATATGAAAGATGCACACAAGGCCTTTTAGACCCACTTGCAACCCTCAACTGCTAAACCCCAAACCCCAAGGCCCCAAACTCGAAACCCCACACTCTGAGCCTTGAACTCGAGACCCCAACCCGACTTTAAACAAAAAGCGCTCTAAACCAGAAAGGCGTTAGATTTTTCCTAGACCCTAAACCGTAAGCCCTAAAACCCCTATCCTAAAACCCGATAGACTCTAAAGCAGGAACTACGAAGCGCCTTCGCGCGCGGTTGGCTCGCAGTGATGCGGCGAAGCGCCGATCCGGGCTTCGCTCCTGTGAACTCAGAGTTTTGGGGTTCCGTTTAAGGAATTCCGTCAAGGGATCCTATAGGATTCCTTTCAGGGATTCCGCAAAGGCATCCTAGAGGGTTCCTTTAAGGGACCGCAGATTTGGGGCTTAGAAGGCTTGGGGCTGAAGAAGGTTCAGGGTTTTCGGCTTACATATCCACTTGAAACCCTCAACCCCTAAACCCCTAAACCCCAAACCCCAAGCCCCCAAACTGTAAACCCCAAACTCGACGCCGTAAACCCGAGACCCAACCCGACTCTAAACAGAAAGGTTTTAGGGTTTCCTTAAACCCTAAACCCTAAAAGCCCTATAGACTCCAAAGCCCTATAGACCCTAAACCACCAAAGCCCAGGGTTTTTAGGTTTATAGGGCTGAGAACGGATGGCCATGCTCCCTGTGTGTTTGCACTGGCACAGCATGCTTTACGTGCATCTTCTAAGTGGATATTAAAGGATACCTTGCCGCAACAAGCACCGGCATGAGCTGCCGTCGTCGCCATGATTTTTCATGACCAAGTTGATGGCATGATACTTATCATGATGGCATGAGGGCGACAATAACATTGCGAGATGAAGGCAGCTTGCCTTACCAAGACTGAGGTTAATTCCCTGTCGTCGTTGTGGAGAGCGAGCCAGCTAGAAAATATCACGGCAACCCCTGAAAACCGGTGACTAGGAACACAGGCCGCCCTAGATCCTAAATCCCAACCCCCCCCGCCCCTTCTACCCTACCGCCGCTCCGCGTTGCTCTTCTGCTCGTCCACCTGGAGTTGAGGCCGGTCCCAGGTTCGGAAGGTTGTGGAGCAAGAGCTCAGGGTTCAAGAGCTTCGGGTTTAGGGGCTTTAAGGGGTTTAGGGTGCTAGGGAGCTAAGGTTTATAGGGTTTCGGTTTCAGGGTTCAAGGGCTTGTTTTGTCCATGGGGCTCTCCTGTCGCAGCTGTCTGAGGTTTGGCGACCCAAACCCTGAACCCTGAACCCTTGTGAGCATAGGGACAAGACATGGAGTGGCTATGCACAAACCGAGATGGAAGCTGTCAGCCCTAGCGGCCCTACTAAGCCCTACAGCACGACACCTCTTCCTTCTACTATCATCATCATCATCATCATCATCATCCGGAACACCTTACTGTTAAGTATCCTAGGGGATTGAAAGATCAACCTCTAGATGTGACCTGCTCTACTGCTAGGTCATCATCAGCATCATCCATGTCTGAGTCCAGCGATTGATCAAACCAAAGTCAGATGCACCGTGTGTTTAGATTGAACTTCCAGTTGTAGGGGTTTAAGAGTTTAGGGGTTTAAGGTTTAGGGGTTCTGGGCTTTGGGTTTAGGGCTCAGGGGTTCTGGGTTTTGGATGTTTTTTTGGTTTCGAGTTCGGGGCTTAGGGTTTTGACCATGGTTGAGAATTTAATTCCAATGTTTCGTGGCCTGCTCAGAGCCCCCGGCCCGAACTCCACATCAGAAGCAACCACCCTTTATCCAGGGCCTTGTTTTAAGACCCAATGTCATTAGGTACTTAAGTTTCGGACAGCAGTTGTGTAATAAGTTACCGTTTTACAGAGCTATAATTATTGGACACCTAGAGCTTCCAAGATCCGTTCATCAAGCAATGTACCTCACAGTATAGGGCCCCTAAAATGATTTGAAGTAGTTCCTGAATGAAGGCACTTCGGAACCCTAAACCCCAAACCCCTAAACCCTAAACCCTGAACCCCTAAATCCTAAACCCCCAAACCCTAAACCCCAATCCCCTCTAAATCCCCAAACCCTAAATATTTGGACCCCTTTGGGCTCCATGGGCTTCTGACCCCAACCGAGGCCCGAGCCGAACTCTCTGAAGCGGCGGACCCCCGGAAGTTTGAACAGCGAAAAAAGCCAACAAGGAACTGGGCGGTTTGGGGTTGTAGGGTTTTGGGGATACGGCTTTAGGGTTTTAGGGCTTTGGGGTTTGGGGTTTTGGGGTTTGGGGTTTAGTGTTTTGGGGTGCCAGCCTACATCCCGGACCCAAATAGCCGAAAAGCCATAGACCCTGGTGGCTAGGACCTGGCGCCAGCTTCCTAACATGAAGGACGCCTGCTGTAGGCTTGGGTATCCTCTAGTTTGCGCAATCAAAACCGAAGGTCTAAAGCCCCAATCCCAACCCACAAAAATCACCAGACCCAGAAGCGCCAGCCCTAAACCACAACAGCCTGAAGCCATTAACCCCCAAAGAAAGCCCCAAACACCAAAACTTTAAACTAGCCAAAACTGCCTTATCCCTGAGCTGACACACTGAAAAAGCCTCCGAACCCTAAACCGAGGTCCGCTCTGGCTCCGGGTGCTCCTGGTCGCCTGGAGATTGCGCCCTCCTTCGAGCCATGCAAGTCAAAGCCTAAGGGCTGAACCCTGAAGCCTGTACTCAAGTCTTAGTTGGAGGTTCATGGGTAGCAATAAGTAATTATAAGTGGAGTTATAAGTAGGGTTAAAATAATAATTACTAGGGGACTTATAACCCCACTTATAACACTACCCATGAACCTCCAAGTAAACCCTCTAGACCTTTAGTGCAAGTCTTAGATCCTATAGACTATAGACCCTTATTCTTGTCTTCCATTTAACCCTCCACAAAAAGCCCTAGACAGGGTTTAGGGTTTGTGGTTTCGGGATGTCGGGCCTTCGGACCCAACGTCTCAGGGTTTAGGGTTTCATGTCTTTGGCAGGCCGGTTCGCAGGGTGCTACCTGTGTTCTAGAAGCAAAGGACATTGTAAGGGCAGGTGCCGTTAAAAGCTTTGGGTTCCATGTCTGTTCGTGAGCAATTAGGCAGTGGCATGCGTCTGCGAGCATCACTGGCATGACCGCTTTTCTCGGGCCACTGAGATAACATAGAGGTCGGAACATGGCATCACTATGCCCTTGCAGGCCCTGTATTAATAACTACAGTATGATATACCGCACCTGCATATTGCGGCAAATTGAGACCTGGATACTGTGCTCCGATGCCTGGCGACGTTGGGTTCGGGAGGGAGTAGCCGGAGCCAAGCCCGCTTTGTAGGGGCTCAGGGGCTGAATGAACTGGAACCTATGACGGAACCAAATCCCGACTATGTCAGCAACCGGTCTGGCGGCAGTCCTTGCACTTGGAATGTACCGGGCCTGGACGGGATTTGGTGGACTGCTTGGACGTTCACAGGCACAACGGCAACACACCAAGGGTAACAAACACCAAGCACTGGGATAGGAACTCAAGCACGTGTGAATCTTCAAGCGCCACAAAAGCAGTTGGACTGAGAAATGCAGAATTCGAAGCATCTGCAAAGACGATCCCTTCCTGCTACGGATGTAAGCCACCTACGACGAGTCCTGCACGCAAGTTGGCCATGCTTCACAGGAATCCCTGAGGGTCCATGCACCCAAGTAGTATATATACTTCGGCCCCAAAGTACCTGTATAGGGACTACTGTACTTCAAGGCCAAAGTATATGCTATTTGGGTACATGGACCCTAAACCCTAAAGCCCGACCCCATGCACTCTCAGGGCCACGGAAGAAGCGCACCTCGTACTACCACACTCCCCAAAATCTATAGACCCTCAGCCCCTGCTTGCCCCGAGCCTTTCACCAGAAACCCTTTTGTACCAATAAAACATGGCTGCGCTAGGGGCCGCAATCGGTAGAATAGGATTTTAGGTGGTTAGAGAGGAATTCTTCCATGCTTACATGAAGGAGCCGTTAGGAGCAGCATTGGTATTTGGGCTTCTCTCTTCGTAAACTCGGCTGTTGCAAGGAACTGTGAATTCCAGCCTCTTTTTCTGCCCTACAAGCCCCAGGCCCCAATTTTTGTTCAAGGTCGGCTCTGGTGGGCCTTTCTGGTTGCTGGGGTTTAAGGCGTAAAAAAAGAGGGGCCTTCATGCATTAGAGCAGGTGCTTTGGGGTTTCTGATTAAATCAAGAAAGGGGGCTCTGCATAATCAAGTAGAGCCGGTGTTTGGGGTTTGGGGTTTCTGATTACATCATTGAAGTGGGCTTGCTCATGACTGGCTCGGAGCCTTTAAAGTGTAGGGGTAACCAACAAAATCCAAACGTTGCTTCTTGCAGCGGCAAGAACCTAGCATCCTTACGAAGGCCGAGTTGTGGATCTAGCTTTGGATGCTTAGGGTTCAGAGTCTGACGGGCCGTTTAGGGTACAAGGATTTGCAGAGTAGGGTAGAGGACTACAGGGGGTTTAAGGGGTAGGAAAGGGGCAAAACTCGAACTGAACTGTTAACTGCTACCGTCGTTACCGTCGTCCGCGAAAAGAATCAGAACACCAACACAGCCACCGGGGACAGAACTGGAGGGTCTACGAACCTACTCTGCAACCCGATGCCTCGAAACGCGAAACATACCCGACACCCCAAACCCTAAACCCTAAATACCCTTATTCCAAAACCTTCAACTGCTGCATCTGAAGCCCTTAACTCGTAATTAACGTAAGCTCACCGGGAATCGGGCTGTCTTCATGCTCTGCACCACGTCAAGGACTCGGCCCGCCCGTACCCGAAAAAACTGCGGTGACATTATAGGGTTTAGGGCTCATGAAGTTTAAAACTGAGCGTTATCATGTGTGGAATGCAGCGGTAAAAATACAATACACAACACACAGCCCAGAACTTCTGCCACAGAACAAACTTCGACCGCAAGCCACGAACTCAAAGTCCATGTACACACACATATATATATATATATATAGGCATGCATACCTGCCTACATGCATACATGGCACACACGCACACGTCTGAATAGACAGGTGAAGTGTGTCTGTGCGTGTATTATTGTATATGTATATACATATATTACATTGCACATAGCAGACAGGCAAGCAGCTAGCACAACGCAAAAAGGCCCCATTCTCCCTGCAGTTGGAACGACAAGCTCCTTCAGCTGCCCTTTGAAAAGGCGCCTCATGAACAAGGAGTTGAAACAGAACAGCGTGTTTTCGGAGGAGGGGGTAGACTACAGCCGAAGATTTTCAATCGGGACAAAACAGACAGGGGCTCATGCGAATCCCAGGCTTCCTTGCCTTGCTTTACGAGACCTGAACTCAAGGCGCCCACACGCCGCTCTTAAACCCTTAAACAATCTCTCAAACCCCCAAAACCTTGCAGCACAGGGCCCTCTATCGAACCCAGCATTCGAAGAATGTTGTAGACACGGGTTGTCCTCGCATGGGGTGAACTTTGCTGGAGATGCCGGGTGCCCGCGGATGATCACGCGTCTCGGCCCATCACCGCCCCAAGCCCAAATCCCAATATAAACCCTATCAATGCTGTATTTCAACCCAGCAAACTCGCCATAAGTCACTATAACTATAACATTAGACGGGTCTGTAAAAACCGGAGGCTTGGCATCTGAAGCTCAAGATGAAGGCCCTTTGGGCCCATCTTCGGAGCGCTCGCATCCCAGACTATCCGCAGCCCCTTCCAGGACCCCCCAAGCGGCCCTTTGCCCTGAAGTGCTGGTTTTGGGGATATTTTCTCGGGTAGTTGGGTGGTCTGCGTTCAGGGAATAAAGAACGCGTACACGGGGAAAGGCAACTTGTCCAGGGTCTGCCGCTCCCAACGGCAGCCCTCGCCCAGCGGCTTCTTCGTCCACTCATGGACTGGGGCTTCCCGGGCGTACTTGACCTTGTACTTCTACAGTCGCCAAGGGGAAAAAGGGTCATCGATTTTGCCTACAACACGCGCTGACCCCAAAAAGGTACAATGCAACTTTTGGCGAAGTAACTTTGTTGATCTTGATCGTGCCTTGGCCCCATCCTTCGGGCCGGCCATTCCGGAAAGTCTCCCTGAGATCTCGAGTCGGTTCGAGCACAAGGCTAAGGGTACCCGATACTTGTGAACATGGCAGGTCTATGCGAGTCTACGCCGCCATGCCACTGAGACTGCTCGAACGCACAGATCCGGGCAGAAACCCTGCCAAACGACCAGAATGCACGATAAAGGCGAGGCGCTTGGCCAGGTTGAACTCTTCGGCGCGGGCGTCTGAAAGCTCTGAAGAGCCCGCGCCGTAGTCATCCACCCACGCCTCAGATGCCAAGGAATGCAACTCCCGGCCTCTACGCCGGTGCCATTGGACAATACATGATAAGTCATCCCACATCTTGAGACCCCCCCTTTCATGCCTTGCTTACGTGGCCCATTGGCGTCATTGGCATTGTGAGCCGAGCAACCGGCTTGTACACGTTTGAGACGGCACAGCAAATGACCTTGCCCTCGTCGTGCTGCCTCTTGACTTCGCGCAACCAGTGGCAACACCAGCCTCTGCAACTCAGCGCTATGAGGCCAAAGGCAACAGCAGGTGGTAACAACATGCGATTGAAACTGCCTGGTCACTCAAATTTGACACGGCTTGGGGGGATGAAAGGGCTCATCTGAGTGGCAAGGGTGCCGGCTGTTGACCTTTGGCAGCTCCCGAGCTGATCTTGACTCCACATTGCCACTCCACATCGGGTGCCGCCCCTCAGCAGCTGGCACGGGGACGTCGTCCCGGCCGCACTCGTCCGCCGGGTGCAGCCACCCCTCCTCCGTGGCGAAGCCCCAGACCAGCGTATCGCCAAACCAGACCGTGGCAGTGCCTGGCCACAGGGCGCATGGCATAGCAAGTCCGCGACGCTGATCTCTTCATGTTGCGCATGCCAAGGGTCACTCCAAGTCTGTCAGATACTCAGCATTCTCACACAACTCACTACTGTCCGGTCTGCATCCTGAAGGCTCCGCTTCGGACAAGAACTCGCCACCGCGAGACCAAGCCAGCCCAGAAACCGCAAGAAACCACTTCCCCACACAGAAAAATCCAAGCCAAGATCTTCTCAACGAAGCCCTCTCAAAGACCTGACACACCCCCTCCCTCGAAGAGCTGAGCAGTGTCTCCAAGCGGCCACCGTGATCGGAGCTTTCCAACTTCCACATGACTTGTTCATAGGCTCTTCCTCCCGGCACGGATGCCCCGGTAGCCGGGAAGCGATCTCTCATGTCTTGGAACATGATGTAGCTGTCGTAATAGGTCCAAACCAGGCCAGTGCCCGCCGCCTCTCGGCACTGCTGCCGGAAGTCCGCGTCCTCTCGGAGCTCCTCCACGGCGAAGTGGTAGAGCCAGTAGGCCTTGGTGGCCTCCACTAGCTGAAGGACGAAGGCCCGGTCCCTGCGGAGGTCCTCGGAGACGAATTCCAAGGCGCCGCCATTCTGCTGCACGGAAAACAGGACGAACTCCCTGTTGGCCTGGAAGTCCGCGGAGGCGTATTGCAAGGCATAGCCATTCTGCTGCACGGCCGCAAGGACGACCTCCTTTTTGGCCTGGAGGTACGCGGAGGCGTATTGCAAGGCTCTGCCATCCTGCTGCACGGCCGCAAGGACGACCTCCTTGTTGGCCTGGAGGTCCTTGGAGGCGTATTGCAAGGCATAGCCATTCTGCTGCACGGCCGCAAGGACGACCTTCCTGTTGGCCTGGAGGTCCGCGGAGGCGTATTGCTGCACGCCCCAAAGCCAATTCTGCCGTAGCTCCTGCACCCGGCCCTAGCAGCCCTTCGGCCTTGCCCTCGCCCCCGGAAGGTCCTTGTCACTGTCGGTCTGTAGGTACTCCGGTGCGTCACCGTGCGTCGGCAAGGCTGCGCCTGCGCCCATCAGTGCGGACCTCCTGGAACACACACACACACACACACACACACACACACACACACACACACACACACACACACACACACACACACACACACACACACACACACACACACACACTCACTCTCACCTTTGAACGCAAATACTTTTGGCCTGGAGGTCCTGCGCGCCGACGCGGGGTGATCAACTGGATGACTGCAAGGCTTGCAGTTTGCGAGCCGGAGAAGTCGCACCACATGCAAAGCTGCAAAGCTTCATGCTTCAACTGGAGCCCCACTCTAAAATCCCCGCCTGACCCGAAACGAACTGACATATAGAGTATCATTATTGATATTGAGTCTGAACCTGACGAGAAACGGACTTAATTCGGAGAGACACCTCCCGGCCGCCGGCCAACACCACTGCAACATTCATCATGCTAAACGACCATCAATTTCAGGTTTAGGTGTTAAGGGTACCATGAGGGCCTCCATAACTGGTGTAGTTAGAAAGGCTTAAGAAGGATTGCCACAGGGCTTCAGCGTTTCGGCATGCCGGAAAGGAAAGCATGTGGGATGGCACCACTTGGGTCCAATGGCCCTGCCTGGTTTCCTGCGAGCTGCAGTCTTTTTTGAAATCATATTTCAGCGTGCCACGGTTGCGGTGTTCGCACAGACTGCTACATATGGTTCGACACGGAAGGGCCACTTGACTGCGCCAATCGTCCACGCAGGCCAGGTGATCGAATCCATTCGACCGCAGGTCAGTTTAAATCGACCCAGAGGCAAGGCGACATTGGTGGCTGCTTGGTCCAGGAACGTCGTGAAGGAGTGGTGGCATGATCCAAAACCAATCGCAACGGAACTGCCGGGCACCCATGTCGATCATGTACTGCAGCGGTCTTCTGGCGCCGTTGGTGGCGGCATCTCGTGTCTTCGGACAACGAACATCACCTTTGTCTGCTGGACTTCGAACCAGGATCAGACGAGGTTTCGGCCAGCGGTACGACCTGAGGGGACAGATATGCAAGAGTATGACGATCAGAATCGAATCTTCAATTTACCGGGTTCTTGTTAAGGGATCTAATTTAAGGTCCCATCACAATAGGGAAAGCATGCTACTTACTGTAGATCCCTATTATGGTACCTGAAATCCAATTCCCTAACGAGAACCCAGTTTAGCTACTGCTGGTCCTGTGCTCCAAGGCTTTCCAAAGGACACCGACGTCAGATCAGTCCTTAGCCGTGGAAGCCGGAAACGCCTTGGGCTCCTACAAACCTTCCTCCACGGCCTGCTTTAAGGGTTGCCAATCTTTGAGGGCTGAATTGGGCTTTAGAGTCGCTCTAAGGCTTGCTTTAAGGGTTCCTGGTCAGGTCCCTTTAAGGGCTGAATTGAGCTTTAGAGTTGCTCGAAGGCTTGCTTTAAGGGCGCCTATGAAGGGGTCTTTCCAGGGCCCTGTAAAGGCTGAATTGGGCTTTAGAGTTGCCTTAGAGCTTGCCTTAAGGGTTCCTATGAAATTTCTGTAAGGGCTGATCAGAATTGAGCTATAACTTGATGGTTGCTTTAGCGGCCCAAGGTCGGTCCAAAGTATCAGTTTCGAAGCAACAAACATCTCTGTCCCTCGATGCAAAAATGCCGGAACCCTAAAGCCTTCATCCTTTATCCTCAACCCTAAACCCTCATCCTTACTCCTTCACGACTGAACCCTCGACCTCTTGATTGAGCTTAAGGTGAACGAGGTACGCAAGTCTTCGACGACGACGACGATGGGAACGACGACGACTGCTGCGACTGCTGCTAGTAAGACGTGTCTGAGAGTTCGAGAAATGGCGGGGAGGGTGCCAGAAAGTGTTTCGCATGAACATCGGCATACGAGTAGTCGGACGATCTACAGCAATGGCAAAACGAGAAGCAACAGTGCATCATCGTCTTGTTCATCTCGATCGCAACAAGAGCTGTCATGAGGCTAAGCATGACAGAACGAGGGCGCCAGCATGGCTTCTTCGCAGACGGGTGGAAGCTAGATCACAGAACTAAGCAACCCCACAACCTGTACCACAGACGTAGAACCCGAAAATCCTGACAGCACGGCGACCGGAGCCTAACACTGTCCCCAAGCCTTGGACCCATATCCTCACGCCACCCTGAAATCCTTACCTGAACCCGAAACGATACATTCACGAAAGCCAGGACCTGATTCATGCCTTTACTTTGTTATTAATGATTGCTGTGGATATGACTATGACTGTTGTTAAAGTTCTTAGATCGTTAACATAAGCACGTAAGATCCCCATCTCTGAACTTCAGTAATTATAATACATGGCCCTAAAACCTAAACCCCTAACCCTAGCCCCTTAAACCCTAAAGTGGCTGAAGGTGGGCCAGGCTACATCGGTGAGCTTGGCTGCCTCGGCCTCTTCCCGCGCCCTTCAAGGCGATACGGAGGGACATAAGCTGCACGGTTTAGAGGTTTAGGGGGTTTAGGGCTCTTAGGGTTTAGGGCGCTAGGGGCTAGGGCTTATAGGGTTTACAGGGTTTTGGGTTTCAGGGCTGCAGGGTTTAGCGGGGGTTTAGGGTTTAGGGCTCCTGGGATTCCCATCGGCTCCCAAACCTCGTTATGACTTAAGGTACACATTCCTTCACTAAAAGGCTTCGGAGCCTCCGGAACATGCTTAGGTAGGACTGCGGGTACAAGTTCTCTTGTTGATGTCTGAAGGCTTGCAGGTGTTTGTGATCGAACGTCGTATGATAATACGTGAATGCATCAGATAAAGGCCAACGGTATTATTTGTTCTACACCCTACCGTCATGTTTCATGTGAAGACTTCACCCGCATTGATTCTGTCGGCGTCTCCCAGCATCCCCCAAAGCTTGCTAGTTAGTCTGTTGACAAATCGAGCTTAGGGCTAAGGGGGTTAGTTTCGACTCGTCCCCAAACAGTGAATTAATGACTATAATTATGGCATGTTGTAGATCCTGCATGTGTAAAGCTATTTAGCCTGTTTATAAGTGCAAACATCCAGTCCAAAATGCAGAACAACCTATGGCAACCATTTTATGAAAGATACACAACCCTTTATGTATCCAACTGAAAGCCTCAACCCGAAACCCTCAAACCCTGAACCCCAAGCCCCCAAACTCTAAACCCGCATTCTAAGCCTTGAACCCGAGACGCCAACCCGACTCTAAACTATAAGCCCTAGAACCCCGAAAGGGTTTACGGTTTCCCTACACCCCTTCACCCCAGACCCTACAAACCCCATAGACTCTAAAGCCCTATAGACCCTAAACCCCCAAACCCCTAGACCCCAAATCCTAAAAGCCCCAAAAAACCCTATAGACTCTAAAGCAGGAACTACGAAGCTCCTTCGCGCGCGGTTGGCTCGCAGTGACGCGGCGAAACGCCGATCCCGGCTTCGCTCCTGGAACTCAGAGTTTTGGTGTTCCTTTTGGGGGATTTCGTTAAGGGATGCTCCGGGGCTCCTTTAGGGGATTCCGTTAAGAGATACTCTGGGGCTGCTTTGGGGGATTCCGTTAAGAGATACTCTGGGGCTGCTTTGGGGGATTCCGTTAAGGGATCCCATAGGGTTTAGGGGTAGAGTTTGGGGTATCGGGCTAAGGGTGTAGAGCTTGGGGTTTTTGGTAACGATTGCATATGGGGTTTAGGGTTTAAGGTTTAGGATGGTTTAGGGTTTAGGGTTTATAAGGTGTAGGCTATGACGCTTAAGGCTACGGGCTTCGGGTTCAGGGGAGACATGGGGAATCCGGAGCTTCAGAAAAGTTAAAGATTTAAAGGCTCAAGGCGCTTTAGCCGTTGCGGCTTTACACAACAGTCTCAATAAAGCAGGTGACATCGATGGATTAGTTAAATGAGGACTTCCGAGCCTAGGGTGCAAGGTTTTTGATTTATAGGGCTGAGGACGGATGCTCATGTTTGCACGGGCACAGCAAGCGACTCTAAGCAGATACTATGATTAAGAAGAAGATATCTGGCGGTACCAGTCGCAGGACTAGCAGCGGCAGCAGTCGTCGCCGCCCGCTGTGGGTTTTTGATGACCGAAGTGATGCAATGATCATTTATAATCCTGGCACGAGGAGGGCGACCCCATGGGGATGGGGGCTAACGTTGCGAGACGAAGATGAGCATGAAGAAGATATGGCATGCTATCTCTATGTTGTGTATCCGCAATTTCACAACAGCTCGTGTTACTAAGGCTGCTTTTAAATTCGACTGTCAGATTCAGTAGAATGAAACAAGACACCAGGCAGGAACAGGACGCTGCAAAGTCGCAATCGCCCCTTATAGACCGAGCGAGCCAGCCACAAAAATCACGGCAACTGCCGAAAACTAATGAAAACCTTAAACTCTAATATAGGGGCCTAAATAACTATACCAATACTATTTTGGGGGTTCCTAGTTATACTTTGAATATTATGGGCCCCAAAACCCTTATTCTAACTATTGAGGCTCCTATATTAACACCCCGCCAGCCCTCCCCTTCTCCCCTGCCACGGCTCCGCATAGCTCTTCTGCAGTTCCTCCACCTCGTGTCAAGGTCGGTGCCGGTTCGGGATTTCAGCTTCAAGAGCTGTTCCTCTGTAGAGTTCCTCAAAGGTTTAGGGTTTACCTTCCCGGCAGTCTTGATTATAGCTCATTTCTGGGGATACCTTGCAGGATCCTACATGTAAAATGAAGTGAAACCCAAAAACTGAGGTTCAGGGCTACGGACCTAATGTGCCCAACACCCTCAATCTTCATTACTGAATACGCATACCACAGAAATGTACCTAATAAGCCTGAAAACCTAAACTCCAAACCGTACAACCCCCCTACTGAAACCCCTAGACCCTGCAAGCCTGAGCCCAAGAGACCCCGAACATGAATCATGCACCTCCTCGCGGCCCGAGACGAACTCTCGCGAGCCCCGAGCCCCGCCACTACACACTTTTTGAGCACTGGCAGTCTACATCCCGAACTCTAGATAGCCCCAAAAGCCGTACACACGAAGATTCAGAACTTCAAACCT